GGCGGACTTGCATATGAAGTGGGCATCATTCCGTGACTTTGCGATCACATCTACCTACGTCCAAGATCTTCTGTTCGTCCTCTACCCCATTATTGTCACCTCAGACAGTGTCAGTGCTGAAACAGAGCTCAACTCGCGAGGCTCAGCCTTGACTTTCGAGGGTCAGGACGTGGTAATTCGACCGCACGTATTAGCTGAGAACATGCGTCCTCCGATTGTCCGAACTACGACGGTTGAACCACCGCCTAGTCCGAGCATGCAAAGGGCCATGCCTTTCCGGCGGGCATCGTCGTTTATCCTCGTCACTTCAGACAAGTCTGACCACGGTCCGTCACCAGCTCGTCTCAACGCAGTCATATCTCCTAATAGCTCTGCTCCAGTGGCGCTGCGGGTAGGGAACTCAGTTGTCGAAGGTTTGCTTGAAGTCATCATCGATGTCTTTCTCGATCAAGTGCTGCATCGGAAAGACTTTGGTGGGTTTGGATTGTTTCTCAAAGTCCCTCCTGGATTTCAGGAGCATCAAGCATATTTCGAGTCTTATGTTCTCAAACATGCAATGTCAACTCTCTCGAATAATCTTCGCCTAAACCAGAAATTACTTACGGATGCTAAGGTGCTGTCCAACCTTACGAGGTATGTGACACAGACTTCTGAGGCGGTCTTTGAAGGTTGGTTCCTAGATGGCGCGGAACCATTACTGGATTTTATCGGTCAAATACTGGAACACCTCCGACGGCCAGAGGTAGCTTCCCACAAAGAAGTACGCATCAGTAGCCCAAATATCGCACAAATGCGATTTCATTTCTTGCGTATTACATTGCTCCGACTTTCGGAACTGGATGAAACCAAAGATCCCAAGACTGTTACTACATTTTTGGACAAGATGATTTACTGGCAGACGATCATGCTCACGCCAGCGGATAGAAACAAGGAAGAGAGCACGGATTTCTTGTTCTTGCGACTGATGTTCTATCTCCTGTACATCAAGTTCATTAGTCCAGTCCAAGAGGTCCGACTTGCGGCTATCAACTTTTGGAGGTTGGTTCTTGTTCAGAAGCAGCATGAAGCGTTATTCGTATTGAGCCATGCCGCGCCAATAAACCATAAGCATCTGCCAAATGCTTTTATGCGTCTCGCCGAACTCGACAACGAGACTTTCCTCGATTGGACGGACCGCCACCGTGAAGATCTGGACTTGCTCTTCTTTGGGGCAATGGCCAAGTCTTGGGAGGAATTTGTAGCGCAAGAAAATGCTTCTACCGAGGAGACAGCACGTACCAGGGTCGACAAGAGAAGAGCGCGGCTACGGCAGTGGATGGACGAGGAGAGATTAAATGAACGTACCATACATTCGCACGAAACGGGTGCGCCACATTGGAGAAGTAATATCTTTTCGTCTGAGCGCTTACGACATCAGCGTACTATGCAGGATCAGCAGGAGAGTCTCAGCTTCACTGCCACGACGCTGAATAGATTTGATCGCATCCTCAAAGGGCCATGCGCTTTGTTTGAAGAGGATGAAGAGCCAAAGTGGCGGCTTGATGAGACTGAAGGGCCGCATCGGATGAGGATTCGCATCGTGCCAGACCGAAGTAGACGGCAAGAAGAATACCAACCTAAGCGAAAGACTTCTGATATGGTGAGGAAAACGCCTTTGAAGGTAGATACAGTCGTTAAGCTAGCTTCGAGTAAAGAGCTTGTCGGTACTACTCCAACTGTGGCAGCTCCTCCACCATCGTTCCTTGAACCCGGAAGACAACGCGCAACAAGTCAATCGTCCAATCTGTCGATGCCCCAGGATGACGAATACGAGATTATCGATGATCCCAAGGAAGATGAAGATGGTTTCGAAGATAAAAATCGCAAGGTCATGCGCGCCCTTGAGAGAGGTGATATGATCCAGCATGTCTGCAACGTTTCGCGAATCGTGGGGCTGGAGGCATGTGAAGGTCTTTTCATCCTCGGAAAAGAGAATCTTTACCTCATGGACAATTATTTTCAACGTGCCGATGGCGAAGTTGTCGGAGTTTGGCAGGCTCCCATCGAAGAACGGGATCCATATCTTCAATCGCTATCTGGACACGATCCTAAAATTCGCAAGCCACGACTATCTATCACAGACCAAACGAGTCGACATTGGCGATGGGAAGACGTTATGGTGATTTCAAAACGGAGATTCTTGTTCCGTGATGTTGCGCTTGAGATCTTCTTTGCTGATGGTCGAAGCTATCTTCTCACTGCTAATTCTCCGGACTTAAGGAATGATCTTCACGCTCGTCTCCTCGCAAGAGCGCCCTATTTGAATAACCCCTCTTCGTTGGCGCACTCGGAAGATGCTTGGAGGTTGGAGTCGTGGCGGAATCCAGAGGAAGTTCCGCAAAGCATAGGTTCCAAATTCGCGAATGTTTTTACCAACGTGGCAACGAATCCGGCGACCAGGAGATGGATGCGAGGAGAATTCTCGAATTTTCATTACCTCATGCTCATCAATACTCAGGCGGGGAGGACGTTCAACGATCTCACGCAGTATCCAGTCTTTCCTTGGGTCCTGGCGGATTATCAAAGTGAGGAGTTGGACCTTACGAATCCACGGACGTTTAGAGATTTCTCGAAGCCGATGGGTTGTCAAATACCAGGCCGAGAAGACGAGTTCCGCGAACGATACAAAGCTCTTTCTGAGATGTCTGGAGAAATGCCGTTTCACTATGGAACGCATTATTCGTCTTCCATGGTGGTGACATCGTACCTCATTCGCCTTCAGCCATTTGTGCAGTCATATCTATCACTACAAGGAGGGAACTTCGATCACGCGGACCGACTGTTCTATTCCATCGAGAAGGCATGGCGGTCTGCCTCTCGCGATAACTCGACGGACGTGCGCGAACTTACTCCAGAGTTTTTTTACCTGCCCGAATTCCTGGTCAATCGTAATAAATACAACTTTGGCTATACGCAAAGCACGGGCATCCAAGTCAACGATGTCATCTTGCCTCCCTGGGCAAAGGGTGATCCGCAGATCTTTATCGCGAAGCAAAGGGAAGCACTCGAGAGTCCCTACGTGAGTATGCACTTGCACAAGTGGATTGATCTCATTTTCGGACACAAGGCACGTGGCGAAGCTGCTATTGAAGCGATCAATGTGTTCACACCATTGAGTTACCATGGCGCTAAGGATTTGGATCGCATTGAGGACCCGCAGGAGCGATTGTCATCGATCAATATTATTCACAACTTTGGACAGACGCCGTATCAAGTTTTCACGAAGCCTCACCCTGCTCGCGAAGAAACTTCACATCGATTCAAGGGGTTGGATAATGCTGCTGAATCGCTGAGTGGTCCCTTGCCCATATCTGAGATGCCGGATCGAATTGCTTCTTTATCATGGTCGACTAAACACGAGCGGCTCATTGCTGCTAGCCCTTTCAGGTTGTATATCCCGCCCACATTCGACAAGTACCTAGAATGGGGCTTCTGCGACGCAAGTATCCGCTTCTTCTCCACCGACTCCAAGAAACAACTCTCCATGTTCGAACACCTGCACATAGGGCCTCCCTCTGCTGCAGTCTTCCTCGATAACCGTACCCTCGTTACTGCAGGGGCCGATTGCGTCCTCTCCATCTGGAACGTCGATTACGCCAATAAAACTACAAACGTTATTCACCGCACCGGTCTCTTCGGCCACAAACACGCTATAACTACCCTCGCCGCATCAAGCCATTTCATGACTCTCCTATCTGCGGATACGAGTGGGAGAGTCTTGATGTGGGATGTCAATTCCAATGACTTTATACGGGAATTGGAACATCAAGGCGAGGAAGTACGGTGTGCTAGAATTAGTAATGCTACTGGAGAGATTTTGCTGGCGAAGGGTAGGAAGATTAAGGTGTTCACGTTGAATGGCGATGTCTTGGTTGAGAAGGACGTTTGCGATGAGGGGAGTGAAATTGATGAGGTGACCTCTTGTGCGTGGTATGAAAATGTCAAGGAGGAGTGGATGGAGAGGATTGTGCTTGTTACGGGGCATAGGTGTGGTGTTATCAAGGTGAGTTGACAGAAGATTTTTGTGTTTGCGAGATGTTTGTTGAAAAAGTTCACTGAACCCTATTTTAGGTGTGGCATAAAGTCATTGGAAAGTCTGGATGTTGGAATTTACGACTCATTAAGAGATTGGAACCGGTGGGACCGGAGGGCAGTGGTGTGCCTGTGACGGCCCTATTACCTGTTGGACCAATCCTTTATTCTGGTGATGATAATGGCAAAGTTGTACGTTACCCTTGCTATCCTTCTTCATGTTTGGCCAATAAGACTAATCGGGAGTACAGTACGAATGGAGTTGCTCAAAGCATGATTAAATGGGAGTTGAGCAACCGGAAAATATAGATTTGTGCGCGCGGTTTTTTTTACTTCGCAGGCATATGGGTACACTGGTTTTAGGCGTTTGAATAGGGCTCTAGGCGTACCGGAATTGTCTCTGCATTCAACTTTGTGGTACTTGGAGAGGACAAAAGTTGTGTATCATCAAGCATTACTAGCATTTTGTGTTGAGCGTTATACAGAGTTTTGCAGACATTGCTATAATCGAAGTCGTGATTTGTATAGCTTGTAAGGTGCTTTGTATTGCACTTATGGAATATCCGTATCAGAAACCTCAGCGACAAAAATGAATTTCAGCATACCTAACAAGCTCTGCTTATGGGCAGCTTATATTTGTTTGGAGGTCAATAGAGAAGCAGGCGAGAAGGAATTCTGTGGGATTCCCCTCCTGGACTGCAATGATCAGGAATTGAGCTACCCCTTCTTTTACACAGAACTCTGAGGGAAGGGCAGTTAAGTGTGGCGAAGGCTTTTCAAATGCGAAGTACAAAACTTCGAAAGGTCAAGAACAGGCCCACACAGCGCCAAAAATATATGATACCAACGCGAAAATATTAAAAAGAGAAGAGTATTTAATGCATTGACCCTGAGATTGTTAGTCAATTGAAATACAAAGAAGTTAGGGGATCACGTACGGGAATTGAACCCGAACCTGCTGCTATCGGATCATGGAAGGCAGCAATCCTAACCATTAGACCATCAATGCTGAGAATTGAAGCACAACTTCAAATTTTGCAATATATAATGTACACAAAACACGGGTAAAATCGGAAGGCTAGTGCTTCTTACGCTGAGTCAGCAATTCAGTGATACAACAAGGCTGTGAAAACCACAGCCTTGTCGTACCGCAGATGTATTCCTTGAGTAGATAATATGCTAGACAATTATTTGGAGTAAAAGAAGGATGGAGGTCTTCTCCTAGAGCTAAATAATTGTCTGAAAGATAAGACAGTCTTGTTTCACTAGGAGCAAGATAATGTTAAGAGCGCTTAGCAACATTCTGAATCAAAGACGTGCCCGTGTTTTCTCGGAATTTTGTGGCGCTCTTTGTTGTTGAGATCAGACTGTGCAAGGTGCCGTGGTTGCTAGTATTAAATTTTCTTTTTCTTAGGCTCAATCTTGGTAAACCAGAATACATGCGCTACAACGGTTTCCTGCTCCTGGCACAACGAGATAACGTCATGCAAGGAGCTATGGTTACAAACAAGAAATTGAAGAGTTGTCCAATGGATTCAATCACTGCAGGGCTCCCAACAATATTAACTTTGAGCTTTAGTCACCGGTACTATGAAAGGGCTCTCAGCATTATTGACAGAGGACTGCGAGAGTTGAGGTCATGGTAGCACGTTCCCTGTTGGGAAGTTCAAACTGTAATTTCAAGGTCAAATTTCCATTCTTCCATTCTAATCTCTCCTCCAACATCGTCTATACCTAGGCAGTCAACCAAGCTCAGCACGCAGCAATGACAGCAATTATGGATCTAAAGGTCCGAAAAGAGACAAACAAGATTAACAATATTCGCTATGTGGCGCTCAAACCCAATGAACGACCAAGACTAGTATTTGCCCTGCTAACACTCAACGACGGTATAAAAATCACAAAGTATGGATATAGCGAGAGGGCATAGGAGGCAAGAGAGGTAGCGTTATAGTATGCTCTCCATCCGCTTCGGTTTAGTGAACAATAGTTTCAGTATCCATGGTGCTAATGCTATACGAAAACAGTTTATCCCCACCTACCAGCGATGCTTCCGCCTGAGTAGTATTCTGCAGCTCCGACCACGGTTGGAACAACAACACAATCCGCGACCACAGCAGCTTAAGCGTAGGTTGAAGGCTGGTTCAGGGTTCCATTAATATTCAAGGACTGCAAAGCTCCTAATAGTATCTTTCTATGAGCGTGTTTGTCGTGAAATCTTCAAGAGCATGGAATCCGGTTGCACATTCCCAGGTAAAACAAATGTCATTGGGCGCTGTGAGTCCGTTTAAATTTTTCATGAGATACTGAATGGATTTGTGAGCAGCACGGCTTCTAGCAAGTAAACCTCTAAGCTTAATGCAGGTGAATATACGCAGAGCATGATATGGTGTTGCATGTATGGCGGAGCAATAATTTGCTAGGCGCCATGAGTATCCCAAGAAATTCTAAAAATTAGAAGATAGATCCGGGAGCCGCATGGCTCCCGGCGATATAGGTATGCTTCGAGTTTGTGATTGAGAGAACAGATAAGAAGAAGTGCACACGACATAGCATACCCAATGGCTTTTGGAAGAAAGTCAAACGATGCTAGGCGCCGTGAATACCACGAAGGATTTTTTTAAGTCGTCAAATGAATTCGCCGACTCGAAGGCTCCCAGCAATAATATCTCTATATAGAATATCATACTCGATTGCTTATATCATGGATACAATAGGATGCTGGGCGCCGTGAATACCTCAAGGAAGTTTTGGAGTTGTAGAATAGATCCAACAGCCACCTGGCTCCGAGCAATATTGTTATAAATTTGAAGTAGAACCCACAAAGTGAATTGTACGGAGGCCTGTTTTCCGGAAGTCCAAAAGTTGCTAGGCGCCATAGGTAGGTCGAAATCATTTCAGAGTTGTTTTATGGAGATGAATGCCGCGTGACTCCTAGTGATGTTAGTTTTTAATACAAATTTGTAGATGTGTCCGGGATCCGTAAGGGCTATAAATCCAGCTTAGAGCTTCGTTAGGAATTGTTAGTACGGAATTCTTTTAAGTATCAACTGCTCATGTAGTGTTAGAGTCTCTTGATATATCCGAGGACTTAAGATACCTCTGCGTTTATTATCTCCAGCTCAGATTGTAAAGACCATTTGAGCTGTCCAAGGCATGCTTCTCATCGACGACTAAATACTGATTTGATTTCTAGTGCTGCCTTCCATAATCTTATAGCAGCAGAATGGACCATTTCAACTTGTCTTGCATTTGCTCGCAGTGCCGTTGCTAAGTAGCAGTCCCATAACACCAGTGTACCTGTCCCAAGCTAATTAGTCTATGCATATAATCCCGATGTCGATTTCAAGCACTTACGCCAATGCCGAACCTAGAGTTTCTTTCCTCCCTGTTCCCATGAATATTTGGATGGCTAGAGCAAGCCCAATAATAAATCCCAAGAGTATACCAAGTCTCTTACTACCATCACAAATGAAGTGAAACAAGAATGCCGGTACAACAAGGAAGACCACCGCGACTGGAAAAGCAAGGTAGTCCTTAATTCGCTCCACCTTCGATCGGTCGAAATAATAACCACTCCATTCCGGTGGTACGGGACGCTCTTCCTACAAAAATCAGCAGAAATCGAGCCTATGAATGAAAGAGGGCCTGACATGAAGTAAACGACCCAGATATTTGCGTGTCCACATTTCAGTCCACGTATCTTTATAAGTAGGTGACTTGAGCAAAGCATAGTCGCGCGTTCTCCAGTAATGCGTAGAATTGTCCTCCGCGATGGGTTCGTAGTCTTCTATGAGAATCTCGCCAACTGGTCTTCCTTCGGTTGCATTCTGAAGCCAATTGTCGATCTTGTTGACAGTTGGCCTGTTTGGAGTGCTGAGCTTGTGGATTTGGTGTTGGCGTAATATGGCTTTGTCTAGTGCTCAAGTAGTCAGTGACGTGGTAAGATACCTTGTATACACGGAATGTCACGAGACTTTAACATGTTCAAATCGTCTCATTGTCTTCACATCCTGTCATCGTATCCACAGCTCCCAGTCCACCAGGCAAAAAGACTCGAGGCCACGATGGTTGGTTCACACGTAAGCGTGGAGCATTATTTGTGACCAGACATTTTGAGATCATAGTAGACGAATATAATCCACTTACGATATCTCTTGATCAAGACCTCAACCTGATCCAAAACTCCATCTAATCTCTCTTCACCGTCAGATCTTCCAAGCTCCATCACACGTAGTTGCTGCTCATACTGAACCAGCTGGGCCTGCATACGAAGCAGACTTCGCGCACCAAGTTCATCGAATCTACGAAAGATGGAGAAGTCCTGATCAGTGGAGATAAGAAAAGCCAGCTCCGCAAAACCTCTCGGGCGTGCAACCTCTTCTGACGTAGGACTCTTAGACACTGACAGTGGACGCTTTTCGTGAGAAGGTAAGAGCGAAGCCATTTATGGTTGGCTTTCAACAGATGATTTTCAGATTAGAAAAGTACAAATTCAAACATATGGAAGTAATTTGAATAACCCTGGGGCATCTCTAACCCATGTGATCTAGTACAGGAGGAACCTCACCATATCCATGTGGCCGAAGCTGTCGGATGATTGGCAGGCTCAGAGAGCTGGAGGCATAGGAGTACAAAGATGCTCCTCCCGAGGGAGGTCATTCTGACTTCTAAGACAGCATGAAGCTGGTTCGTCATTCGTCCCGTATGACTGCCAGACCAGGTATCTGACATTTTGTTTTCAGTGCGAATAGAATGAGACAGAAACCTAATGTCTCTGCCCCGGAGAAAGCAAGCAGTAGTTTGGATAAGCACTTGCACGTTGCAAATGGTGGGATAGGAGGGGAGAAAACATGGAGGGCCATCTCGAGCTCTATAAACAGTAGGGGAGGCGCTCGCTTATCGCGGCTAGACCCTTTTCAACAGTGGGGTAGCTAGCTCTGTATGCAGGGACCAAAAACTTGTTAAAATTCCTTCTGGGTCAAAAACTGTAGTAAACCCTCGAATGACTCGGGAATCTACTTCAATTGCCCAGGATGGAGACTCCAGATATTGCAGTTGAGCCGCCCGCAAAGCGTATCCGCTTAAGTACGCCGGAGCAATTGAAAAACGATTCATCAAACGGCGCTGGTCAGAATAGCAAAGCAAAACCACAAGAAGAGGAGGAAGACACTCAATTGGAAAAGGAGCTTAAAGCTGGAATTAACGCATATATCAATCCCGCCACTCCAGGATTCTCCGGAACTCTCAAACAGAGATATACCGATTTTCTGGTAAATGAGATATTACCCTCTGGGAAGGTTCTCCACCTGCAGACTATTGGAGCGCCAGTGCAAAAGAATGGCAAGAAGGAGGAGGTGAAAAAAGAAGAGAAGGCAGTCAGAGTCGAGTCAAAGCCAGTGGAACAGCACGCAGGAAAAGTGGCAGCCAAAGAGGACTCAGTGGCAAAGAATGGTACACCACAGAAACCTGTGAGTAAAGTTGTAATTGACAGTTGTGTATGCAATTCATAATCTCATACTATACAGCTTTCTGAGGAAGATCGAACGGAATTGGTCGAAATCTTCGGTGAAGATGTGACAGCGTCAATAATCCAATTCCACGAGAAAATCCTAGCCGAACCAGATCGCAAAGCAAAAGAATTAGGGTCTATTGCATCCAACACCATCGAAGACAAAGATGACCGAACAAAAGCCCACAGAGCAGTCCGCCGCATATTTAACAGCACCATGGAAACGACTACGGGTGACAACAACACCATCGCAATAAGCAAAGCCTTTGTCCAGAACAACAAATGGGGTCGAGTTACAGCTGGAGCTGAGCGAGCAAAAGGCAAATTGGGATGGCAAGAGCTTGGAGGAGAATATTTGCATTTTACGCTGTACAAGGAGAACAAGGATACGATGGAGTCGATACATTTCCTGGCCACTCAATTGAGATTCAACATCAAGAACTTCCAATTTGCGGGAACGAAGGATCGTCGTGCTGTCACTGTCCAGCGAATCAGCA